ACTCATAGCAATCTATAAGATCAATGCAATCCTTATCAAAATTCCAACAAAATTCGTCATAGATCTTGAAAGGACAATTTTATTTTCAGCTTAAACTGGAAACACTCCATTACATACACACACACACACACACACACACACACACACACACACACACACACACACACACACACTCCAGGATAAGGCCAATCCCTGGTTCCCACTAGGACAGTCAAGGCTAGTTCATGGCACCTCCAGTCTACACACAACTCTTAGCAGCAGTTTCCTCATGTAGCAAAAGAGAAGAGTGCCTTTGTTTTTCAAAGAGATAGCAAACATTCTTCTCCTCTGTTTGGATTGAAAGCCCAGCCAGTGGGGCCCATGAGGGCCTTCACATGTATTTTAATCCTATACTAAAATAGGGCAGGCTGCATTTCCCTGTGTCTCTTTGAGCAAACAAAGGTTTCTGAAGCAGGAACGTGGGCCCCAAAGCTAAGGACTGAGATGCAAGTGACATACACAGAGTTCAGTGACCACCGGCCAAGCATTAGCAAAGCAACTGTTAAGTGCCTTTGACTCAAGTTTTCCACCCAAATAGGTTTTCCTTCTGGAACATCTAGACCTCTGGAATGTCACAATACTTAGAGCTCACAGCAGCGTGCATACTGCACTAAGAAATGTAAAAGCTGTGTGTTCCAATTGTTAAATCCCCAAGTTTGTCCCAAGTAGGTTAGTGTGCTCTGTGAACAGCTACCACAAGACACCTATCTCAACTTGTCAACAGTCTATCCAGAGACAAACCACACAGCCATGATTTAACTGTACACACACATGTCAACAGTTCTTCGCAGACCAGAATAGTTTTCTACTGAACTACAATCATCTCAAGATCTTCGGGCATCTGGATTTCCATGGTGTTCTGGATTTCCTGAGTGAGCTGCACACTCTAACTTTGCAGACTTTCAGATGTTAAACTCTCTTTTGTTTCCCACTGTCACCAGGGAAAGGCCCTGAGGCATTTATCCCATGCAGAAAGAGACTATGCTGTTATGTGTCTCCCATCTACAAGCCGGAACATATTTGATAAAGTCTGTAATTACATAACTCAGGACAGGCGAGGGTGGTGATCCAGTCTGGGCCTGCAGGCTCCTGCAGGTGCCAGATCAGCAGCATGTGGAACTACTTGACTATATGAGAAGCCTAAACACTTCAATGTTGGGGATTCTCTATAGTAATCGGACAAGGGTATCCTCCATTAACCAAGGCTGGCGTGATTAGACTTGCAGACATTCACTAAAGATTACAAAACTTCTATTTGTTGTGTGTATGGCTTTTTTTTTTTTTTTAACTGAAGGTATGTAGAAGTCAGAAAACTTGCAGGAATAGGTTCTCTCTTCTGTGTGGGTCCTGGGAATTGAACTGAAGTCTTCGGTCTTGGTGATAGGTGCATTTCCCTACTAAACCATCTCACTGGCCCATATTTGTTGTATTTAAGCCTATAAATCTTGACAATTATTAAAATGTATTCATACTGATAGAGATACTCAAACAGAACTGCTGTTATAAAGGATTTGCTAGTAGATCTGTAGGAGACATCAAGATACATAAAACAGAACTTAGGGAGCTGCCTCCTAAATACCCTAAAGATGAGTAGTCTACTACTCAGGCCTGTTAGAGACAAGAAGAACTTAGGATGACAGGATGCTAATGTTCACTCATCAGTATTAACCAGCCATTAGGCTCCACTCTCATAACAAAGGAGGCAACCTGACTTACAACCAGCCATTAGGTCCATCCCCGTATCAGCTCAAGGGGGCAACACAGGTTCACAACCAATGTTAAGTCCTGGCCTGCCATATAGCCTCTCAGTTCTCTTTTTCAAAAAAGCATAATTCTGCCAGGTGAGGAAGATGACCTTGGGTAACAACTATCTGAAAAAGAATAACATTGGCATACTAAAATAATTCTGGCAATATCTTTGCTGTGTAGATCTCCCATCTGCCTAAGTGACCAGACTTGCAGTCTCCTGACTCTATTTAAATTGTTCAAAATGTAATGTGGGGCTGGGACCTGAAAGAGATTTAAGGATGACAATGTGGGTGAAATGCATAAGCCTAAGGTATAGATAAGCTAAAGCAATCTTCTATTTGAGTCTGGTTCTTCTTTGGCCATTAGCCAGAGCCCAGTATTCATTATATTAAAGAGCTTTTTCATTTATTAATCCCTATGTGCATGGAGTGATTTCTCATTGGAAAGGCATATTAATTCTAGAACTAGCTATGAACTGGGTACTAAGAAGTACAAGAGTGTCTACAATGTGGGACCTATCCTCAAGTACACACCACCCGTGGAAGGGACATCATACTCATGTCCAACAGCCTAAATAATATTTTGACGAGTGTTTCTCAACTACATTTCTCAGCAACCTGTAACATAAACAGTATCTGCTACATACATCTTACAAATAGAAAAACCGGGTAAGAAGCCGGAGGAATTTGGTTCCCAGATGCAAAGGTCTTTGCTGTTGACAGAGCTTCACTGACAGAGACAATGGTAAGGAAGAAGTTATGAGTGTCAGGAGAGCTGAGGGACAGTACAGTGGAGAGGTCAGGGTAGTTCTCAAACAGTGTGGCTTTTTCTGTTTTTGTAGAAGCAAGGTCTACCTTTAGTTCCATCCAGCTTGTGATAGAGAGAAGGAAAGAAGACACAAATGTACGGGGGTTGGGGGTAGGTGGGTACTCAGTTCACGTTTGCTTTGAATGAGGCTCAGGGTTTCATCTCCAGCATCACAAGAGAAAAAATGAGGAATATATTGTGATGGTATTTAGATGTAATGATCAGATTATGAATTAAGAGTGATATGAAAAAAGAAAAGGCTTGAGCCAGAACAGAAACTTGACTTTTTGTTTTGTTTTACATAGAATCTCAGGTAGCCCAGGCAGACCTCAAACTCATTAAGTAGCCAGGGCTGGCCTCAAACTCCTGATCCTCCTGGTTCTACCACCAAAGTGCTGGGACTACAAGCATGCACCACCACATCCAGCTTGGATCTTGAGGGCAGGAACTGAGAATGAATCTAATACCTCAAGTCTGTATATCCAAGATGATGATGACATTCACTAAATTAAGGAAGGGAGAAAATTGGGAATAGGGGGCCACTGAGCTCTACTTTTAGCTAACTGAATATGAAACATCCAGTATCTCCATGGTAACATAAGTGAAGAATTAAAAATGCAGATCTTGAATCAACATGAATTAGGGATATGAAAGAAAACTGAAGGATCAAGAATAGATACAGAACAGAAAAAGGATGGAGCCAAGGGGGAAAAATTAAACCCTTAGTTTTCTTTTAATTTTAAAATTACATTTATTAACCAGGTGGTAGTGGCACATGTCTCTAATCCCAGCACTCAGGAGGCAGAGGAAGGCCAAGCTCTATGAGTCCAAGGCCAGCCTAGTCTACAGAACAAGTTCCAAGACAGCCAAGGCTACACACAGAAACCCTGTCTCAAAATAACAAAACCAAATTACATTTATTTCTTTATTCATTCTGTGTGCCTGTGTGGGAACCCCTGTACCAAGATGCATGTGTGGAGGTGAGAGGATAATTTTTGGGAACTGGTTCTCTCCATCTATAGTGTGGGTCCTGGGGATCAAACTCAGGCTGTCAGGCTTGGTTGTAAGAACCTTTTCCTGTTCAGCCATCTCGGCAGCCCCGGAATTCTTAGTTTTTAATCCACTTGCAAATTGCCCTTTTCAGTTTGCCAGTCAAGTAGGCAGTGTATAGAGACACATGGAAAAAAATAGTCAGACTCAGATAAAAAGCAATGAGATACAAACTTTTTTTTTTTTTTTTAAACAAAATTACCTTATGACTCTTTCCTAGATTTCAAATAGCATGGTGAGCCACCCTTACCAGAGGCTCCTAGTAACAGGGCCTCTAATCTCTGGCTGGAATGTCCAGCAGTGTGAGGTAAGTAAAGCTTTCCCTTCAGAAGCTGACTGCCTCCAGTATGCTGCTGTGATGATATAAAGGTGACTAACACATGCAGACTTACTCTTCTCTCACTGGTGGACAGTCTCAGGGCTGGGGACATAGCTCAGTGGTAAAGAGCCTGCCCTCAGCAAGAGGCCCTGACTTCGATCCCCAGCCTTGCAAAATCCAGAGCAACAGTCTTCAGAAACCCTGTCAACTTCTCTTCCTCTATCTGTAGTAGTAACACACACTGAATCAAATATGGACCCAGACAGCTACAATGTCATTTGTCTAGCCATTCTGGATCATTATCTGCGAACTCCAGAAACAGTTGAGACCTTTTGAAAACTCTTTTAGTAACAGCAGTAATGATGATGGCACTTGCCTTCTGCGACAGGGTTCTGCTAGACAGCCCAGCTGGTCTTGAATTCTGCCCCTGCTGCCATGACAGGCGTGCACGCCACTTTTCCCTGTACTGGCAATGGTACAAACACCTCAGAAGCACTGGGTAAACTGCTGGTGTTTCAGCATGGGTCAAGGCAGTACCACTGAACTATTTCTTTTTCCCATTATATGTATTGACTGATTCACCTTCAGGAGGCTGGGGCTGGAGGAGAATCAAATGAAACATAATATAAAATTAACAAGCTCCAGCAATTCATCTGTTGAGGTGTCATGGCATGAATGTGGAGGTCACAGGACAACTCACAGTTAAAGGATAACTAGCAAGAGTCAGTTCTCCTCCACCATGTAGGTCCTAGAGATGGGACAGCATGTAACAGCTTGGCAGTGAGCTCCTGTACCTGCTGAGCCAGCTCACCTGTCCTCAACTACTCTTATAAATCCAGCACCCTCACTGTCACACACTCAGTGTTGACGTCAGTGAGTCCCACAGAGGTCTTGAGGATGTCCTCCTTTGAATAGGATAGAGCAGCACAAGTACAAAAGCAGCTCCTTGAGAGTGCATGAAACACTTGATTGTCTCTTTGGTCTGTTTTCATCCAACCCCAAAGCAATAAATGAGTGTGGTAGTTTGAAAGAAAAGGGCCCCCAAAGCGAGTGGCACTATTAGGAGGTGTGGCCTTGTTGGAGGAAGTGTGCCAACATGGGGACAGTCTTTGAGGTCACTTTTTGTCATGCTTCCCTCAATGTGACAGTCAATTGACTTTCTGTTGCCTGCAAGATGTAGCACTCTCAGCTCTCAGCACCACGTCTGCCTGCACGCTGCCATGCTCCCCTTCATGATCATAATGGACACAGAACCTCTGAACTGTAAGAGAGCCGCCCTTAATTAAATGTTTTCTTTATAAGAGTTGTTGTGGTCATAGTGTCTCTTCACAGCAATAGAAACCCTAAGACTACAAGTCATTGAGCTGGTTGGTGGTAGTGGCGGCGGCGGCGGCGGCGGATGCCTTTAATCCCAGCACTCGGGGAGGCAGAGGCAGTCAGATCTCTGTGAGTTCGAGACCAGCCTGGTCTACAGAGTGAGATCCAGGACAGTTACCAAAACTACACAGAGAAACCCTGTCTCAAAAAACAAAAAACAAACAAACAAAAAAAAGACTACAACAAGTCATAACTATTTCTAAACATCTCCAGATAGAAGTCTAGTGAACAATCTGGGGGTAGGAGGCACTGAAGGATCTTCACCTGCTGGTGTTTACAGCCCCTACCATTCCCTGTGTGACCAAGAGAATAAAAAGGGAGAGATGCACTCACTTCAGTGATTGTGAAGAAATGCTCTGGCTTCCTTCCTTCTTGGGTACCTTCTCATCATCTGCTCTACAGTAAGCAGCTGACAGTGTGGCTGGCTCTCGCTAGAGGTCCATGTAATAAGAAACTGAGGCCCTTTTGAAGAGGTTGCCCAATCCAAGTCTAAGCTTCAGAACAGTGAAGCTCTGGACAGCAATGACGGCAACTCCATGAAACACTCCTAAACCAGAACACCACCTCCAAACCCCACACCTTCAAGAACAGGGAAGAAATACTATTTTAAGCTGTTCAGTTTTAGGGTCCCTTTTTTATGACATAGGTAACAAATACATGTTCCTTCCTACCAAAAGCCCAAAATATAGGCAGGCATGGTGGCAGATGCCTAAAATCCTCACCTTCAGGAGGCTGGGGCTGGAGGAGAATCAAGTGAAGCATAATATAAAATTAACAAGCCCCAGCAATTCATCTGTGGAGGTGTTAAGGATTGGACCCTGGCCTTGCTAAGCAAGCACTCTACCACTGAGTTACATGCCAGCCTTTACGACATGTTTAGACTCACTTTTCCTAATTCTGTTAGAAACTCTCACTTTCCATTCTCTTCTTTAAAAAGCCAGACAACGTGCATGCCTCCAAAACAGTTTCTAGAAACACAAGCACAGGCAGTGTGGGACCTGCTTTCCCATGTGGATACTCACTGTGGGAGAACCGTTGAGTGATGGGCGTTCCGGGATAAGGGTAAGTCCTGCTCTCCCACTGGATGTTTCCTTCCTGGACAGCCTTCATGAAACCATGGTAACACTGGTGAGCTACACCTAAAGATGAAAAAAACCAAAGGCGTCAGCTTGGATATCTAACTTGTGGGGGGAGAAATCATAACAATTTTATCTTTTAACTGTTTTATCACTTGTATAAGTCATGAATGTTTTGATGAAGTCCAAATTTCTCTCATTTTTATTCAAAGAAAGGAAATGGAATCAAGAAATGTCAAAATTGAAAGAACTACATTTTACCAGGGTACAGGAGGTTCAGAGATGTGTGCAAGGTTACTAAATCAGGTCACATGATAACCCTTGTCCACTTTCAGTTATATCATGTGGCAATAAAGATAATTGGTAGCATTTACTACAAAGCAGAGGGGTGGGGAGTAATTTGTCTTTGTGAAGAATCCAATGAAGCAGTGTCTGTAATGAAAGAGCTGCTCAAAAAGCTCCGCAGTTAGAGCATGGCAATCAGGGATTCTCCAGCTTAAGCGAGAACGTAGACGTACATTATTACATAATAGATTATGAAATGTTAAATGTGTGTCTAAGGACTGTGTCTTAAAAGTTAAGAGCTTGGGTGGGCTGGAGTGATGGCTTAGTGGTTAAGAGCACTTGGCCGCTCTTCTAGAGGACCCACGTTCACTCCTACACAGAGGCTCAGAACAGTCAGCAACTCCAGCTCCAGGGGAACCAACACACGCTTCTGGCCTCAGTGGATACCAGGCACACATGTGTTACACAGACATATATGCAAGTAAAATACCCAAATACATGAAATAAAAATAAATAGATAAAAATTAGGAGCTTGGGGCTGGAGAGTTGGTGGAGCAGTTAAGAGCACTCACTGCCCTTGCAGAGGACCCAGGTTCTGTTTCCAGCATGGTGAGTGACTCACAGCTGCCTGCAACTCCAGCTCCAGAGGATCCACGCCCTCTCCTGGCCTCCACAGGCACGTGCACACACATGGTGCACACACACTCAAGTCATACACACATACATGTAAAACTAATACATAACTTTTCTTAAAGTTAGCGCTCCCAAGTGCAGAGGGTCCTCTGGAAGAGTAACTGTTAAGCCATCTCTCCAGTACACCTTTCTTTCTCTTTATGTTTAAGCATATATTAAAACATCTCTATTACCCCCACTTCTGCTTCATAAAAACATGATTTAAAAAGACCAACTGAGGAAAGACACTGGAGTCAGCCTCTAGGTGGATCTCCATACACCCACACTAACAAGTACATACAATAAACAGACACACCAGGCCCAGAGCTGTCTGTAACTCCAGTGCTAGACATATGATGCTCTCTTCTGACCTCCACAGGCACCAGGCATTGCACATGGAGCACAGAAAATACATACAGGCAAAACACTCATACACATGAAGAAAAATAAACCTTTTGTTGTTGTTGTTGTTGTTTTGAGACAGGGTTACTTTGTGTAACAGCTCTGCTGTCCTATGTCCTAGAACTTGCTTTGTAGACCAGGCTGGCCTCAAACTCAGAGATCTATCTGCCTCTGCCTCTGCCTCCCAAATGCTGCAATTACAGGGGTGTGCCAGTACCACCTGGCCAAATAAATCAATCTTTAAAAACAAAACAAAACAAAATATCATTTTAAAACTGTAAATAAATTAAAAACTATTACTATTATACAACTGTATAGTATTATATATTCATGTTCTAGCTGTTCATAAAATTAACTAAGATAAGAAAAATGTGTTAACTTATCTAATAGTAATTTTTGCAACCATAATGTCTTTAAGAGAGAAAAGAAAAAAAGGGAGTCTAAGAGTTCTCTTCAATGGCTTTTTTTCTGTCCAGGTTGTTACTTTTTTGGGGGGATAGGGGTGGGGGTTGCCACAGAAGCCTTCTATGCCCCCCTTCTCAACTATGAGTTTGCAGTCATCTATACCACTGCAAAGGTAGCTTCCTTGCCTTTACAGTCAGCAGGAGCACGGATCACGGACCTCCACATGGTTTCTAGCGACAGTAAGGACCACACGCCTCAGCACGTGCCACAGACCTCAGCATGGTCTCCAGTGGCAGTATAGACCATGGATGTCAACACAGTGATCAAAGAGAGCTCTTAAAAATTGTGATAAGGATACTGAAGTGTAGCTCTCCACAGTTATTGGCTTCTGGCGGGGGTTCGGCTGGGGAAGAACTCAGTTTTCTATAAGGGGTTGGCCACCAGGAGTTTGATCATGCTCTAGTGAGTATATGGGCAACACAAATTGGACATGTTTTTGTTTCATGTTTTTCTTTTGGGGGGGGTCACAAAGGTAGAGGGGCAGACTTTGGATGACGGAGAAGTGAGTGTGATCAGAGTGCATAATATGAAATTCCCAAATAATCAATAAAAATATTATGTTGGAAACACATTAAAAAAGAAAAAAAAGAAGGTTGGTGTTGGAGGACTGAGGAAGTGGGGAGGATCTGGGAGGAGATGCTAGAAGGGAAATCATGATCAGAATGTATTGTCTAAGTTTTCAATTAATAAAAATAAATACAAATTTTAAAAAAGGGGGGCTCTAAAACTAAATTACTCAATAAAGGCTGACATAATCAGGGCTCTGCACTTAGGAGCTCTTGCTGCTCTTCCAAAGGACTGAGTTCAATTCCAGCTCCCACATTAGAGGGCTCACAGCCTTCTATAACTCAAGATTCAGAGGATCTGATGCTCTCTTCTGGCCTCTAGGGGTATCTGCACACATGTAGCATATACATACACAGACAGACAGACAGATACACACACACACACAAATAAATAGTATCTCTTTAAAATACATGAAATAAGCTGGGCAGTGGTGGTACACGCCTTTAATCCCAGCACTCGGGAGGCAATACCAGGTGGATCTCTGTGAGTTCGAGGCCAGCCTGGTCTACAGAGCGAGATCCAGGACAGGCTCCAAAACTACACAGAGAAACCCTATCTTGAAAAAACAAAGAAACAAACACAAAAAACCAATTTGAAATAACCTCTGTCTTTGCCACAGTACCTTTGATAAGCCGATACCACTGTTTGCAGACCAGAGCTGCAGTTTTGTGTTCCTGGTATGGTGAAAGGAAGGACAGGATATACTCCAAAACCTCTTCTGGCAGCTCAGACATGGACCTATTATGTCTTGTCTCTTCAACTTCCAACACTGGGTGGGGTTCTTCATCTTGCTCCATTGTCCCTCCCAGTACAGTTTCTTCTTGGTCCACAGCCATGAAACTGTCATCTTCACTGTCAGAGGAGCTGGCCATGACATCCCACTTGAAGCTGTAGAGGTAAGAAATAAACATCAGTGTACACCTTTCCGAAGCAGCTGAGCACCTGAGCTGCTCGTGGATTCTTTCCCACACAGCATGAGAGTGCTCCAGCATTTCCCCACACTGGCTGGGACCATCAGAATTTGATAGAGTTCAAATGTCAAGCCCATCACATCCTCCTTCCTCTAGAATGGCATCAAGTTCTAGTGTAACCTTACACCAAGGAAACTGGGACTAGAGAGAAGGCTCAGCAGTTAAGAGCACTCCACAGCTAGGCCTCAAGTTTGGTTCCCAGCACCACACAGTGGCTCACAATAGCCTGAACTCCAATTCCAGGGGACCCAGCACCATTTTCTGGCCTCTATGTGAACTGCACATGTGTGTTGGGACACAGACCATACATGCAGGTAAACACTCAAATACATTAAAAATAAATCTTAAAAACAAACAAAACCTACCACCAAGCTGAGCATGGTAACATAGCAGCTTAAATTCTAGCACCTGGGAGGCAGAGGTAGGTGGATAGATCTGAGTTTTAGACCAGCCTAAACTCTACATAGTGAGTTCTAGGCCAACCAAAACTACATAGTGAGACCCTGTCTCAAGCAAGCAAAACAACCTAGAAAACCAGTTATTTCCTAATTCCTTTAACTCCGAAATCTGACTAATACATGATTCAGGGAACAGCCAATGATCCAAAACCTCTCACTGACAAAGAAAAACTAACTCTGGGTCCTACAAAAGAGCAAAACACTAGGAAGATCTGAGTTAAGAAACAGCAGTTTAAGCTGGGGTTGGGGGGTGAAGGGGTGGTAGTGCACACCTTTAATCCCAGCACTTGGGAGGCAGAGGCAGGTGAATCTCTCAGTTGAAGGCCAGTCTGGTCTACAGAGCAAGTTCTAGGACAGCCAGGACTACACACAGAAACCTAGTCTTAAAAAAACAAAAACAAGGGCTGGAGAGATGGCTCAGCAGTTAAGAGCACTGGCTGACTGGCTGCTCTTCCAGAGGTCCTGAGTTCAATTCCCAGCAACCACATGGTGGCTCACAACCATCTGTAATGAGATTTGGCTCGCAGACAGAACACTGTATACATAATAAATAAATAAATCTTTAAAAAACAAACAAACAAACAAACAAAAAATCAGCAGCTTTAAGACAAGGTACAGTGGCGCACACCTGTGATCCCAGCACTTGGGAGGATGAAAGCAGGAGTCGGAGGCTAGCCTAAGGTACATAATGAGACCTGTCTGGGGGGTGGGGGGAGATGTATGTATGTATGTATGTATGTATGTATGTATGTATGTGTGTGTATGTATGTATATCAGTTTGAAAGGGGGTAGGTAGGGTTTAACAGTAGAATGCACGATTAGAGTGCTTGTCCTTACACAGGACAATTCAATTAGAGAATAATGACTGTTCTAAGAACAGGCCTAATTGGCTAAACTGCCAACTATAAAGCAATATGGACAACAGAAAATATGACAAATCTAGGCAATAAAAATAAAAACCCAAATGCCTAACAACAGAATCAACAGTATGAACTATCATTCACAATGGAAACCTATGAAGTTAAGAATGACAGGTACATGTCACATACATATCTCTCAGAAGCAACTCTCTGCAAAGAGGGCAGAATGCTTACTGCATGACTGTTCACACAAGTTCAAAGTTCATCTGTGCTATTATAAGCGAGGACAGTAATTAACATACCAAGTTCCAAAAGTGCTGGTAAAATTCTATTCCTAGCTGGGTGGTGGTGGCGCACGGCTTTAATCCCAGCACTCGGGAGGCAGAGCCAGGTGGATCTCTGTGAGTTCCAGGCCAGCCTGGTCTACAGAGTGAGATCCAGGACAGGCACCAAAACTACACAGAAACCCTGTCTCGGAAAAAAAAAAAAAAAAAAAAATTCTGTTCCTAATTGGGAACAGAAGTGTCTGTCTGTGAAAAAGTCATGGGCTGAATACTCCTGTACTTCACAAGAGTTGATCAGAATATGCTCATCAGTAGCTATTTCTAGTGAAAGTATCGATAATTTAAATTTCTTTTTGTGCTTAGCTCTATTCACAGAAATTCTGTATCGTACACAAAGGCAAACAAGTCATTTGCATGTGCAAAGCCTAAGGTAAAAACAGTAAAATTAAGAAAATGTCATTTATATAAAAACAGGTGTAGTGGAGCACATCTTTAATCCCAACACTTGATAGGTGAAGAGTTAGGAAGAACTCTGTGAGTTCAAGGCCAGCCAGGACTATCCAGTGAGACCCTGTCTCAACAAGAAAGTTATGTCCCAATAGACTGAAAGGAGAAAGAGCTAAGCAGAATGAGGACCAAAAAGGTTTAGTGGGGAGTAAACTCTCTAAGGGATATGGGAGAAGCAGGGACCAGACAAGAGGAGACACAGATCATGATGCCAAGCTGACCAAGCCTGGCTCACAGACCTTACTAAGACAACCAATTAGAAAGATCTGGTGAAGAATGGACAGGGTGAAGCTCCTCTATCACTATTTGGCTAAGGCACTGGCTAGGGACCACTCCAAGAAGACTTGGCTGCAAAGCTCTGGCAGACTTTGAAGAGGCAAACAACTTAGCTGTATTCTTCAGCTAAGGAATACAGCTTTTTTATTTTCTTTCTTTTTTGGGGGGTGGGTATTGGTTTTTTGAGACAAGGTTTCTCTGCATAGCCCTGGCTGTCTTGGAACTTACTCTGTAGACCAGGCTGGCCTTGACTGAACTCAGTGATCTGCCTGGGATTAGAGTGCTTCTAAGCTAGCTCTCTAGCTCCTCCTGTTTGCTCCCCACCCCCCAGACATCCTGTAGCCTAGACTGTCTTTGAACTCCTTCTACCTCAGCTTTCCAAGTGTTAGGATTGTAAAGTGTGAGCCACCACGCCTGGCTTAGTTCCCTTCGCTTGCTTCCTGTAGTTCCATACCCTGACTCTTACATACATTGTTTTGCAGGTACAGAGCATTTGGAGCTTATTTCCCATCTCCCCTCACCACTCCCACTCCCACTCCCCTCACTCCCCTGTTCCCTAAAGAGTTCTGCTCCTATTTCACTTCTGTATACACACAACTGATTCCCTTCTCTAATTTACTGCATTACTTTAACTTCACTCTGCTCTAAACTCACCAAAGAAAAAAAAAATCCAAGAAAAAAACCTGGCATTGGGTGAGGCCACCGTTTACATCTACCTCAAATGTATCAGCCAGCCCAGCACATCACTGACCGTGAGCCCAGGGTGGCCTCAGAACACCTCAATCAGAGGAGGTTATGGAAGGTCATTTACATTTCTATTTTTCCCAAGCAGAGTAAATCTGTCTGATTCAAGAAAACAATTCAGCCCCTGTCCAAATCTTCTAAAAGCACAATTAGCAAATCTGTGGAGCAGCATTCCCACTGGCTCTGTAAGTTTTAAGGAGCTTTCACTGTCAATCCTTGCATGGTTCACAGAAACATCAGTCCCATGCCCTAAGGGCTCACTTGCTAGCTCCACCTCGAAACAACGGGTGGCAGATGCCTTTCCTTGGTAACTGTATACCACACCAATTCACACAGTGCTTCCTTCTCACTTCTGTGATCAAGGACTCACAGCCCCTGAGGACACAGAGGCAGTTCATGCTCTGAATGTTGTTTTGTTTTGTTTTCATTTGGCCTAAAGCATCTCCTACGTAAATGCATTAACTCAAGGAATGTGGTTTCCATGAAGCTGTTTCAAAAGGCAAATTCTCATCCTCACCAGTGTCAGACCTCTTCTTTTTCCCCAGTGATGGTTTTTGGGAAACTCACAATCTGAAGTCAACTCAACAGACCTAGAACTCGAAGACAGGCTGTTTAACTGGGCTTCTTTGCCTTCTGTGGGGCATCCCAATGAGCCTGAGTTTCCTAGATATTTCCCCTCCATCTTAGTTATGGTTTCTATTGCTGTGAAGAGACACCAGGACCATGGCAACTTTTAAGGAAAACATTTCATTGAGGTGGCAGCGTACAGTTTCAGAGGTTTAGTCCATTATCATCATGGAGGGGGCATGGCAGCATACAGGCAGACATGGTGCTGGAGAAGATGTTGAGACTTCTACATCATGATCCAAAGACAACAGGAAGTGAACTAAGACACTGAGCGTGGCCTGAGCATATATGGGACCTCATCTCAAGTCCACCCCACTGTGACACAGTTCCTCCAACAAGGCCATAGTACTCCAACAAAGCCACATCTCCTAACATTGCCACTCCCCATGAGCTTATGGGGACCAATTACATTCAAACTACCACACCCTCAGAGCACCTGTATGCTGACCTTGCATCCCTTTATAACAGAAATAACAGAAACGATTCACAAGACAGCAAATCCTCTCTTTAAGTCACTGAGTGAGCTAAGGTAGTCTGCTGGCCAAAACTAATATGTGTTTGTGTCCCTTAAGTTCTCAAGTGTTGTTTTGTTTTTAAAGAGGGAAGCAGAAAGAGTGGGGTTTTTGTTTGTCTGTTTGTTTTTTGAGAATGTCAATTTTTATTTGCCAACTGGCCACACTAGTTGAACCAATGAATTCCAGCTTCAGCGCGAGACTGTCTCCAATAAGATTTCAAGGTAGGTGAGAGGGCTCAGTGGGAAGACACTTTAACGCCAAGCCTGATGACCTCAGTCCAATCCCCGGAACCCACATGGTAGAAGGAAAGAGCCAGTTCCCACACGTTTCTACCCTATCTCTCCACATGCACCAAAGAACATGTACACAGACAGACAGATAAAACTGAAACTCAGTTGATTCAGTTAAAATGCAGTTGAAGATTCAGAACAAAATCCATCTTGCTCTTCATAACTTTAAAAAAATTTGACTGGGCTGGAGAGATGGCTCAGTGGTTAAGAGCACTGACTGCTCTTCCAGAGGTCCTGAGTTCAATTCCCAGCAACCACATGGTGACTCACAACCACTCGCAATTGGATCTGGTGCCCTCTTCTGGCCTGCAAGGGCACATGCAGGCAGAACACTGTATACATAATAAATCAATAAA